CTAACAGAAGTGTCAAGACCAATTCAAGTTTTGCCTTTGTCTCTCTGATTTTCTTTCAGCAAGACCTAACTATATTCCTAAACTCTTCCTGAGTAGCCAGCCCTTTTTTCCATAGTTGGTAGATTCTCTTTTTTACCCTAATTTCCTTTAAAATCTCCCTGTTCAGGCAGACCAGTCATCTTCCCCGTCAGCTTGCCTTTCAGCAGACTGGGACAGCCTTCTCTTGTGCATTCAAGACTTGCTTCTTGAAGCACGTTCATCCCTCCTGGACCCCTTTGTTTTCAAAGGTAGTTTCCCAGGGAACACTCCAAACCAGTCTTCTGAAAAGGCCAAAATCTGCCCTGTGGAAGTCCAGCGCAGAGGTTTTATTGATGGCCCTCCTTGCACCCCTGAGTAGTGAAAACTCTACTATTTCATGGTCTCTGTGGCCCAGACGGCCTCCGACCACCACATCTCCCACCAGCCCCTCTCTGTTTGTGAACAGCAGGTCTAGCGGGGCCCCACCCCTGGCAGGCTCATTTACCAGCTGGAGCAGGAAATTATCCTCTATACACTCTGGGAATCTCCTAGACTGCCTCTTCTCTGCTGTGTGGAGCTCCCAGCAGACATCCAGCAGGTTAAAGTCACCCACAAGAACAAGGGCTGGAGATTTTGAGAACATCTACCAGCTGCTTGTAGAATAATTCATCACCCTCATCATCCTGGTTGGGTGGTCTGTAACAGACTCCCACCAGGATATCAGCCTTGTTGGCCCTCCCCCTTATTCTGATTCACAGGCACTCAACCTCATTGTTACTGACTTCAGGTTCTACAGAGCCTGTAGAATATAGAGCCTGTACATATAGAGCCTCTCCATCTCTCCTACCTTGTCTGTCCCCTCTGAAGAGCTTGTAGCCATCCATGGCAGCACTCCAGTCATGCGAATCGTCCCACCACGTTTCCATGATGGTGACTACATCACAGCTTTCCTGCTGCACGATGGCTTCCAGCTCCTCCCGTTTGTTACCCAGACTGCGTGCGTTAGTGTACGTGCACTTCAGCTGGACTGCTGGTTTCACTCTTCACCTGGGCTTCCCATCTAGGCTTATCTCTGAGGAGCCTGGTTTCAACCCCTTCCCCCTTCAAACCTAGTTTAAAGCCCTCCTGATCAGCCCTGCCAACTTATGGGCTATAGTCCCTTTGCCCTTGCTGGATAGATGAAACCCCTCTGATTTGAGAAGACTAGGGATCATGGAATTTGCCCCATGGTGAAAAAAAACAAAATTCTGCCGGTGGCACCAATCCTTTAGCCACCTATTGATGAGATGGGTTTTCCTACTCTTCTCCTCATTCATCCCTGCTATTGCTGGAATTGAGGTGAATAACACCTGTGCTCCTGTCCTATTAACTAATCTACCCAGTGCCTTGAAATCCTTTTTAATCACCCTGATACTTCTTCCATTAATGTCCTCACTGCCAGCCCAGACCACCAGCAGTGGACAATAACCAGAAGGTTGGATTAGCTCAGGGACTTTCCTGCTAATGTCCCTCACCCAGGCCTCAGAGAGTCAGCAAACCTCCCTGTGGGATGGGTCTGGTCGGCACAAAGGGCCTCAGTTCCCCTCAGAAGGGAGTCACTAACTACAACTATCCTTTTCTTCTTTGTAGCTGTGGTTGTAATCCATCTGGTAGATAGGGTGGAGCCAGGAGACAGGTCCAGACAGGTCTTCCTCCTGACTGTCCTCTACCTGATTCTCTGGGTCCAGGGCCTCAAACCTGTTCTTTCTTCATTTTAAGGATATTTAAACATTGAAATAGGCTGCCCAGGGCATGGCATCACCATCCCTCAGAGTGTTCAAGAAATGATGGGATGTGGCACTTAGTACTGTGATCTAGTTGACATGGTGGTGTTTGGTCAAAGGTTGGACCTAATGGTCTTCTTGGAGGTCTCTTCCCACCTAAATCATTCTGATTCCAAGAGGGTTAGCAAACATTGGAACAGGCTTCCTGGAGAGATAGCTTATGGCCCAAACCTCTCAGTGTTTAAGATGCATCTGGACAATACCCTTAATAATAACGTGTTTTAACTTTTGTTCAGCCCTGAATTGATCGTTGAACTAGATGATTGTTCTAAGTCCCTTCCAACTGAAATACTTCTGTTCTGTTTGTGCTTATCTACTTCCTGAACTAATAAGAAGCTAGAGCTTATTAGCCAATGATGTCTCTGATACGACTTGCAGCCAAACCCTGGGTGGAATCTCTGGATAACAATGTTTCAGGCTAGCTTTCTGTTGTAGGGTAAATGCATTCATCAAGTTACAAACTGAAAGTCACCCCTCAGATATAAGTGTTGGTAGACCCCAGCTTGGTTCTGTACCGTCTCTTACTTCTGTTCATAATGGTGCTGGTGAACTGGGAGAATAACACCTCAGGTCAATTTCTAAAGTAAACTGGGTGTTAACAGCAACACCCACAGAAATGAAGCAGTAAAAAGTACAGGATATATATTAAACAACTCATCTTTTCGTTTGGGTTTTTTATCCACTTTCCATCCACAAGAAATAGATTTCATTTGTATGTTTCTAATTAAGTCAACAGAAAAGAAGTCACAAAGCACGGTTGCTTATATAAATCTCCATCCTTCCCCCATATTTTGCACACACTTCCTGATAATTGCACATAATTTTTATGCTGATTGAAGTGTTAAATATTGGAAATGCATGTGAGTTTTAGTGTCTGTAGAATGTTTTTTATTTAAAACTTCTATATAACATGAGCACAAGACTCATCATATGTTCACCTTTTGTCAGATGAGTAAATATGTCTTTTTGGATTCTGTTTTAGGGAATTCACTATTACCGTAAAAGAAAATGTCTACATCTAACATTGCAGTCAGAGTGGAAACCTGGCTTTCATCCACATGGCATGTTAAAGTTCCTTTGACATGGCTGGAAGCATGCATTAATTGGATCCAGGAAGAAAACAGTGGTAGTAACTTAAGTCAAGCTCAGATTAACAAGCAAGTATTTGAGCAATGGCTTCTTACCGATCTGAGAGACTTGGAATATCCCATTTTGCCTGACTGCATCTTGGATGCTCCCAAAGGAGAGTTGTCAGGCTTCTACTCCATACAGATCGATTCACTGGTTGATGTTAGCCAGCCAGCATATTCTCAGTTGCAGAAGCTAAGAGGGAAAAACACTGTAAATGAAGAAGTAACAGCCAGTACTCAAGCATTTCAGAAGCCCTGGGAAGCAAAGCCTACTCGAATGCTGATGCTACAACTAACTGATGGAATACATCAAATTCAGGGCATGGAGTATCAACCAGTGCCTGTCCTGTGCAGTAATCTTCCTCCTGGAACAAAAATCACTCTACAGGGTAATATTACATATCGTCTTGGAGTCCTTCTGCTTAAACCGGAAAATGTGAAATTGTTGGGGGGCGAAGTGGATGCTCTTCTTGAGGATTATTCTCAAGAAAGAGTCCTTGCTAGATTAATTGGAGAAACTGAAAACCGTAATTCTGTTGGACAAACTGGTCTTGAGCAGACTTTTTCCAGGCCTGTTGATGAATTAGAACAAACTCTTGGCCCTTCAGATGAAGAGCTTTTAGCTAGTCTTGATGAAAATAATGAATTTACTTTAAACAATGGAACATCTTTAGAAAGTGGATACTGCAGCAGGAGCAACAATTTAAGTACAGCCTCAGGTTCACTGACTGTACACAATGGAAATGTTTTGATAGAGAAATCTGAAAGCCCTTTGCCTCGTTCAGATGAACAAGTTTCACCTACAGAATATGCTGATGGCTTTTTAAATGACTTTCCTGTAGAAGATGACTTTCTTCTGGAAGAAGAGATGCAAATAGAGCTGGATGAAGTGGTCATGAACAGAAACACAGGTTTAATTACTGAAGGACTTCCACATACACATAGAACAGTGTGCAATTTGTCTTTAAATGGCATGTGTGAAAAAAGTGATGTGAATGAAAGAGATAAAACTATGGAAGCTATCAGCAAGGAAAAGAATTTTGGAAAAGCAATATTTGATGAAGGTGGAAATAGTACGAATAGCTTTTTGCAGCTCGGAAGCATACATCAGACCTGCAGTTCTTCAGATTTTTCTTTGGAAAATCCTCCTGAAAAGGGGCAGAATGATACAGACTTAGATGAAAGCAGCTGTAAATTCCAGCACACTTCTGACAGCAGGGTGTTAAATGGTGATCCTATATTTTTCTCAAAAACAGATCCAGAAGCAGATCAGCAGAAGCATGATTCACAGACATTTTCTTGCAGAGCAGTAGAGCCACATTTAGATTTGGATTCTTCACCTTTCACATATATTTCCCTTCTCCTTGCAAAAAAACCAGAAACTGTTACAATTCTGAAAGTTAAGTGTTTTATTGTTACTCTCACTGGAAACCTCACAAACAGCAATGGGTCCTGGGGCATAAAGGCAAAAATTTCCGATGGTTCTGCTTATCTTGAAGTAGATTTTGCTGATGATATTCTAACGAGCTTGATTGGCTTTTCAGTGCCTGAAATGAATAGGCTGAAAAAGGACCCAGCTTTACGTCTAAAGCTTAAGGATGGTTTAGAGAAATGTCAAAAACAACTGATAGATCTCTGTTGTTTGATGACTATTAAGTTTAATCCATTCCAGTCTAAAAGTACTGTATTAATCCTCCAGGATGCTGATGCAAGGCATCTAGAACAATTGAAGAAACGTTTGAATAAATAACATGCAAACTTGCAGACTATGTTTTAGGAAGCATTTAAGTTATATTTCCCCTGAGGGACCATTGGAAGTTAAATTTTAAAGTTAAGTGATGTGTCTTTTATCAGGAATTATAATGGAAAATGAGAGAAGGAGACGACTTAACAGAGCAAAACCAACAGTTTGTTTCTTATGGTGATAATATTGAAATAAACTTTCAAATATTTCTGTCTTGATTTAAAATACTCATGCATCACTTTCATTCTACAAAATCCTGTATGTTTTGGACTGGTACTCCAAAATGACAAAATTTGTCAGGAAATGTATAACAACAAATAAAGTTCCATTATTATACTTTTTCAAGTACTTACCTGATTTTTAAAAGGAAGATATGGGAGACTCTCAGTCTTTTCTTGGAGGAAACCAGTTGAGTAAATTTAAATAAAGAGTTATTGTTTAAATACAGTCACTTTTGATTCTGACAATCTGAAAAATCAAATATGTATTCAATGCACAAGAATCTGAAGTGCAGAGAAATGAAAGATTTTCTCCAAAATGTTCAGGTGGGGGGGAAAAAAAAACTCTGTAGGAACATGATATTAAAAGACCTGTATATTTTTTAAAATAATTTATAAGAAAGCCAAGTATTTTGAAGTATTTTATTAACAAATAACGGTTATATATAGTTTCAATTTTTGTCATGTTAGTGTTAATCACTGCTAATAGTTTGAACCTGCAGGCAAACTTATTAAGACTTCTGATTACTTGTCAGCTTTTTCACAGAATAGTCAAATACTGCAAACCTGTTGTATAGTGTATTTAATGTTGGTGTTAATTTTGATTCCTTTTTTTTTATTATTATTTTCTGCTTCTAAAATATATACAAATAAATATATTAAAGTTTTCATTTAAACTTTGGTGGAAGCTGTCCAGTCACTTCAAAAGAAAAATATACATCTTGGTGAGTCTATAGAGTATCAGAAACTATTTGATTAAGGTTTATGTTCTTTTTACTGACCACCCTTTTCTCCTCTTGTTTGTCTTTTGTCTGTTTTTGTTTGGTTGTTTTTGAGTTTTGTTTGTGCTTTTTATTTTGGTTTGGTTTTTGTCCTTTTTTGGGTTGAGTTTGGCTAGGTTGTTTTCCTGTGAAATTAGAAGAATTAAAATTCTAGCAGGGGAAGGAGGATAAAGGAGAGGAGCAGTCCGCACAGTGTTGATGTGCTGGCAAAGAATGTAAAATTAGTGGCCATTTTTTTTGAGTTGGCCTGTCAGTATCTTTCTTCAGAGCCTTTTCTTTCTCTGAACAATGTCTGTTACAACAATGAGAATTGCTGTAAGAGACTGTCAGTATTGCCTTACTAACCCATCTAAAAACTGAGAAGACTTCAAGACTTCAAAGAAAATGAGGTAATTTGCTAAGTAACGTGAAAATGGAGGGAGGTGGAGGAATCTTGAGGTTTTTCACGCTTGAGACATGAGGGGTTTTAGGTGTTATTTTATATGTTTTAGAAACATATAAATTCCTGTATTGCCTGCCTTCCTCTCCTCACCTTTCCCTCCCCACTCTGGAAGGCACCTGATCAAATTATAACACAGTGAGTCACCTTTGGGTTTATTTTCTGAGGCTTTTGAGAACTGCAGATCATTTAGAACTGTAACAGCAAAAGCTTTTGTCTGTGTGGAACCTACATTGCTGGATCTTTAGTTATTTACAGAAAAAAATCACTTGTCAGTAGGAAACTGACCAAGTTTCATTTCATGTAATCCCTGTAGAGGGTAACAGAGCTGACTGTAAACATTTTGTATAGTTTTATGGAACTATTTCTCCTATAATGAGTTGGGAAACTTCCTTTGAAGTTTTTGCCCAGCCATTTAAAAGGATAGGAGTCCATAAATGTTCAAGAGACAGAAATAATCCACAGACTTTATTCTACTTGTGCAAAGCAAGAAAAATGTCATTCAAAATGCAAAATCAAATAAGGGGTTGGGTTTGTTGTAGATGATGAAGTCATACCTGCCCCTTTTTGTGTTAAGGCTTAGCCGTCTCTGCTAAAATAAGTTCATGTGTCTCCTGTCCTCTTCCTCCCTCTACACAGTCCCTGCCTTAAAGGCATTGTTACCTGTCTGACTTTTTTTTCTCCTCCCGCCTCTGTTGTCCTTGCCTTCATTTTCAAGATATGCTTCCTGGAAATCCACTCTCATGCCTGCTATCCCATGCAAGCAAGAAGGTACATTGACAGGGTTTGTGGGGAAAATCCTCTCCGCGCTCCCTCTCGCAGGGACAGAGCTGCTGTGATGCGAGTCCCGGTGGTGGCTAGCTGCAGAGATCACGCAGCACGCAGGCAGTCCAGGGGTGAAGAGAGTTTTTTCAAATTTCCTGCAGCTTATTAAGGCTGCTGGGAGGAAGGGAGGGGATTGGCTACTCGGCTAGCCAACGAGAGGGGATGTGAGGTTAACACCCAATGGGAACCCAGGGACCAGGGAGAGACAGGTGAGACAACCAGTGGGGTTAGAATAGGGGTGTGAGCTACCTTTGTGGGTGGAACAAACATGGCAGTGCCCAGGGCAGCCCCTTGGGGACTGAGTGAGGGAGATTTTGTACAGCATAGGGAGTTCCCGTACAATAAATTCAAGATGCCTGAGTTTAAACTATAAGTTTTTTCCTGTGTTGACTCTGGGAAACTTCATCTGCGTTGGTTTTCCCTCTAAAGATGCTGCTTCCAAAGTGCACAGCCTTTGCTGTCCCTCACAGTACATCTAAATACTGCTAGCTGTTCGCAGTTTGACACTACAGATATTTCAGTGCAATCTTCCGGTATATAAGATTTCCAGTTCTGTGTTCAAGCTTTTAGAATTAATGAGAAATACTGTATAGTTCTTCTGACAAGAAAAGAAAGTAAATTAGTGATATTGAAAAAGCATGCTTAGTTCTAAGAGCAGTATGTCAAACAGAAAATGTCATATGTGGCTGTTTGTACCAGTCATTGGTTCCTGCCTTATCCACTTTATTTGCTCTCAGAACCAGCTGGCTATTACCAGACGTAATTTTTGGTGCTCTGTGTGTGTACTGTGTGCATATATTGCCATATATTGATGAGCAGTGGTGGGTGTCACAGTCCTTCAAATAATGACAGTTCTTACAGGCTGAATTCAGAGCATGGGCTGCAACCCCCGCTGACCGTGGCTGAGATCTGGAGCAGAGGTATGACCACATTTGTGTTGCAGAATACAACAGAATTCCTGTACCAGCTGCTAAAGGCAATTGTCATGGCAGCTACTCTCATAAGTTAAATGTAGCTTTCTAGCAGAAAGCAGTTTCTGCTTTTTATCATCTCTACATTAGTCTACACTACATCACTAACTTTTTCTTGTTATAATTATTTCAGCTGCTAGGTAGACTTCTGCACTTGCAGTGTATCTAGCTGCAGTTTCAAAAGCATGTTCCTCAGGAATGTTTTCGTTAATGGAAAAATAGGCTGTGTTTTTTTGTTGCTGATCACAGTGAAAACTTCCAACTAATTCAGTTTTAATATATGAAACCTACAGTATTGTCACACAAAACAAGGGTGTTATGATATTAGCAATGAAAGTTCTTCCTGCCTTTCTTAGAGTTATTAAAGAAAATGAAAACAATAACTTTGCTATGGCAGCGCCAGGTACCTGCATCACAATGTACCATTTAACAGCTCTGTCACTAGGACAAACTACAGAAAAGAAAGTTCTCAGAAACTTTGTTGTGCCCTAGTTCTTTTCAAGGTACTCACTCTGAAACTCTGAACAAGGCAGTGGCTAGTCCAAGAAACGTGGCAGGTTTCCAAATAAACTAGGCTGACAAGAACAACTTGGAGACTAATATAAGCCTATTGGATACTAGTTTGGCCGTAAATGCGCGTGTCATTATAGTCCAGCAACTTCTTTCTTGTTGAATGAAAGAAGTGTCGTGAAGAAGCAACATCCTGTGACATGAGCCAGTTCCCTCTCTGTTCTCATGGGCAGTTGTATGTATCTGCAGGCTAAAGTACTCTGTTTTTACAGGGAGGTGCTGGTACATGTGATCTCAGTAAGAAAGTCACTCGGACTCTGTAAAATACCAATTAAAACATAGAACTAGCCCTTCTGGATAAAAGCAAAGGCCATTCAGGTGGTATAATCTCTGGTACCGAGTGGCAGCTGCCTGCTAGCTCCTCTGGTGCTGTGCTCTGCCTGAGTTTCTCCTGCAGGCAAGAGATTTGCACACCCCAACACAGCCTGAAGGCAACACTGGGTGTGCACAGACCTTTGCTTGCTCAGGTTTACCATGAGGTGGGCCATTAAGCCCTCAATGTGTCTTCTGATCAGCATCACCTCACTCCCTGTCCTGCTGCTTTCAGCAGGTTTTTCTGCCTTTCTACAGATCCTGTTAGTAGGCTTGGGAAAATCGGAGCTTTTCCTGTAATCCACCCGAGGATCTCTTGCTTCTTTTGGTATCTGTATTGCACATGTAAGCTGTAAGTCATGCTGGGTCCTGCACTTGCATTGCAGCAACACCATGAAGGACTACAGCCTTTGGGAAAAGTAGCTTGAGAGCTGTTCAGCAGAAAGAGACTTTGGGGTGCTGGTTGACAGCCAGCTGAACATGAGCCAACGTGTGCCCAGGGGGACAAGAAAGCCAATATCACAATGGCCTGTACCAAGAATAGTGTCTCCAGCAGGATCAAGGAAATGATCATGCCCCTTGTAACATCCCAGGCTCGCAGTCCAAGCTCATTGTAGGGGTTTTACTTTAAAAATATGAAAGGCTCTAAAAATTCACCTGCCAAATTTATTATAAAATTTCTTTTATACCTTGAGCGGGCACAAGGGAGAAGGCACTACACACATTTTCTCAGGAGGTAAAACAACATGCTTGTACTGGCAAACTTTGGAAAATAAGAGAACTTTGCAAAAGTTTAAAGGGCAACACTCAAACAAAATAAAGCATTCCACAAAGCATTGACTTAGCACATGATACCCCATACAACTTAGCAAAATCCAACCCATCCTGTTCTAAGTTACCCAAAATATCAAGAAAGGAGATTAGGAGAATTAAAGAAAGATATAGAAAAATAGAGAATTACAGCTACCATCCAGAGCCCTGTATATGGAAGTCCAGCTTCCATATGTCCAACCACATGGTAGGGTCCAACCATGTGGAGACCATGCTTTGTTTTTATCTGCTCTGGCCCTCTGTGGCCATGCCATCCTAGGTGAGATTTTGTCCCGTTAACCACTCTGGGGCAGGGTGAGGGGCAGTGCTGCCGGTGTGCCAGCCATTCTGGGACTGGGACAGGGGCTCCGGGGAGTGTGGTGTGGAGGAG